TAAGGATTTAGGTCCCCTACGTTATTTCCTCGGGATTGATGTCGCTCAGTCAAAGTACGGTATTGCTATTTCTCAGAGAAAATATGCCCTTGATATTCTAGAAGAGACCAGACTTACAAATTGTAAGCCAGTTGACACTCCCATGGATCCTAATGTGAAGCTTATGCCTAATCAGGGGGAGCCTTATCCTGACCCAGGGAGATATCGGAGATTAGTGGGCAAATTGAATTATCTCACCATGACCAGACCTGATATATCCTTTCCTGTCAGCGTTGTAAGTCAGTTTCTTAACTCTCCCTGTGAGAGTCATTGGCTTGCAGTTGTTCGAATCCTTAGATACATCAAAAGATCACCAGGAAAAGGACTTGTTTACAATGATAGAGGACATACAAACATTGTTGGATATTCAGATGCAGATTGGGCAGGTGATGCAAGTGATAGGCGGTCAACATCAGGCTATTGTGTCTTCATGGGTGGTAATCTTGTCTCATGGAAGAGTAAAAAGCAAAGTGTTGTTGCACGATCAAGTACAGAAGCAGAATATCGTGCTATGGCTCACACCACATGTGAGCTCTTGTGGCTAAAATTCTTAATTCAAGAGTTGCAGTTTTGCAAGGTTGGTCATATGGAACTAGTTTGTGATAACCAGTCAGCTTTATACCTCTCCTCTAATCCAGTTTTTCATGAGAGAACAAAGCATATAGAGGTTGACTGCCATTTCATCAGAGAAAAGATCCTCTCCGGTATCATCAAGACCTCCTCAGTTTGCTCCAAGGATCAACTTGCAGATATCTTTACTAAATCTTTACGTGGTCCTAGGATAACATATATATGTAACAAGCTAGATGCATATGATATATATGCTCCAGCTTGAGGGGGAGTGTTAAGATAATTCTATAAGATATAGTTTAGATATACTAGTTTATCTTCTCTTTAGTTAGTTTTATCTAAATCCCTAAACTTTAGGGTTTGATTATGTTTTCTGCCTATTTATTTTATTGTACCTATTCATATTCAATAATAAGAAATTATTCATATTCAAGTGAAGTCATTGGAAAATTTGAATTAGAATAGTGAGGATTATGTATTGGATTACATGATTTATAGAACATTTATACACATGGACCACAGAACCAATCTCTAAGGTCTGGGATTTGGATAAGCTATCTATGGGAACTAATGAACGGATGGGTGAAACTCAAAATATTCACCATTTTCATGCCCAATTTTTGAGACAGATACAAGGTTCTTGGTGACTGAGAGTACTAACCGTAAATTATTGAAAGTGAAGACAATGTGAGTCAAGAGGTAAAGACAATTGTGAAAAATCAACAGATGAGACTGCTGAAGTGACTGAGAGTCACTTGGACTACAGAATCAGTCCCTAAAGTTTGAGATTCCGATAAGCTATATATGGGAAGTTGGGAACTAATGAACGAATGGGTGAAACTCAATACACTTCATCATCGTGCCCAATTTTTGAGACAAATACAAGGTACCTGGTGACAGAGAGTACTAACAGTAAATTATTGAAAGTGAACACAGTGAGTCAAAATGTGAAGACAATAGTGAAAAACCAACAGATGAGATTGCTAGACCTTGGTGGTTGTCCATACTCCATTAACATTCAATCAGAACCATTCATAAGTGAACTTTAAACTAAATTGTGAGGATCAGCGGTGATATTGTGTGAAGCATGGTTGTGGGTGTCACTGGACCATGGTGCTACAATATATTGTTCTCTAGATCCAGATGGATATGGAGTTTCCAAGAAAACCAAAGAAGGCACATTATTAACTGGTGTAGCTGCATGATATGTTGAAGCACCATAAGATGGTAATGGTGGTTTAGTAAAGTGCCAAGGCGGAGTAACTAGAAGTAGAGGAATGAGACTGTGTTTGTGTCTTGCGATTTATACAAGTGATTAGGCAACAAATGTTGACCAAAGCAATGAAAGCAATTGTAAACTTTATGTCCATACTTGTTACACAATTGACACGTAGGATGGAAGCCCCACATTTAGAGGTAGTAACCAGTCCCCTCTAATTAGAATGAACCAGATCAAAAGGTTCAAGACTTTGTAAATTATTATTACTAGGAAGAAATGTTGCATGATCTTGCTTTGCAAATTGACAACTATCATAATAAAATGACTCAACTGATTCTCTTGTAAACAAGTGAGGAAATAAAAACCTGATCTTTCTGAAGGTGGATGTTTAATACACTTATGTCGAAGCCAAATTTGGGAAGCTGCCCAAGTTTATGAGTTTTCCTGATGATGACAGAAAGGCAACTCCTTTTGCTAGTGCCATCATCAGTCTCCATATGTTGCAAGAAATATAAGTATATAACCCACCCTGCCCCCATTGTCCTCCTTGTGACAAAGTCTTGAAAAACGCAATGAAAGTGGAAGAAAGTTATTGTATATTCCAAATCTTTTGCAAGTTCATGTATAGAAACAAAATTGTTAGCCAGTTTAGGAACTTGACGGATTGCTTAAGGATAGGGATGGTTGGAGTTGAATGTTGCTTGATCCAACAAATGTACGGAAAGATTTTATTCTATTTACAATACTTTTGTTGGTTGCTGAACAATGAACTAGGGTTTCAGTGCCTACAGCTGCTGAACTAAAAACAAACATGGTGTTGAATCAGAAATCTCTAGTACCACTTGAATCAAATTAATGAGAACTGTATATTGCATTACTTGACTTGTACAATATTTATACACATGGACAACAAAATCAGTCTGTAAAGTTCAGGGATTAGGATAAGCTATCTAAGGACAGTAGCAAATAATCAAAGAATACAAAATCAAAACTGAATAATATCTCAACAAAAACTAAAATATCAAATTGTCAAATGATAAAGCTTCTCTACTATACCAGTTAGTTAAACCAAATTATTTGGGAATGGGAAGGCAGCATGAAAGCTGTACTATCAATCTAATAGCAGCATATGTTTGCTAGTCTTAGGGTTTTTTTTATGGAGAATGTCACATTAGTGGTTAGATTTAATGGAAACTATTGTCTTTTTTATGTGAATGGATTGTAAAATGTCACATGTCAATGTCATATCTTTTTTAAATGACAATCATTTGTATTCTCCTGCAGTCTTGGAAAGTTGTATTATACTAATTTTGTTCATTGATGTCTTGCAGTGAAGGGAGAAGAAGGAGATGGGTCTTTCCCACACTTGTAGAATCCCATGGGTTTGAGGTAGTATATAACAACTTTGACAGTAGTGCTGTTTCATATTTTTGATTCCTGAATAACATTGGTTATTGTTTATTTCATTATTTTCGTTTTTATTATGTACTGGTCTGTTATTTTATTTTAATTAGGACAGACTTTTTTGCATGCATATAGCTTTATACTGGGCAGGTAGTTATTGTTGAAAGGAAGAGAAAAGAAGACATAATTGAATCAGTGTTAATTACACAATGGAGCATATTATTATATACTATGGGTAATAAATAAAGAAAAAATTATAGATATCCTAGAATAGGCCCATGAAAAAAATGTCCATGCTACAGTATCTATGAATATCTAACAATATAATTGTTGGAAGGTCTCACATCACTTGCTTCATTTCTCCGGATGCAGCCTATATATCTACTGGGCGACTTCACTTAATGTTAGTTGGTTTTGAAATAAAATTTAACATGGTATCAGAGCCTGTAGTCCATGTTTGTGGTTCACCTATTCTGGTAGGCTTCGCCAGACATCTGTGGAGGGGGAGAGGTGTTGGAAGGTCCCACATTACTTGCCTCAATTCTTAGGGTACAACTTATATATTTGTTGGCAACTTCACTTAATTGCAGTTGAGGTTCTAAGATGAAATCTAACAACAATATCTAACACTCCCCTTCAAGATGGAACATATAAGTCATATGCATCAAGCTTATTACATTCCCAATTAAGTCTAGGACACCTCGAAGACTTGGTGAAGACATCTACCAATTGATTATTGGAATTGATAGAATTGGTTGCAATGTCACTCGATAAAATCCCCTTGATGAAGTGACAATCAATCTCAACATGCTTAGTTTTCTCATGGAACGAGTGACATTCAGATAATTCAGTTTTCCAACCAATTTTTTTGAACCTTTTTGGATCCTTTTTACCTTTATTGATATGTGAAAATCAGTCTACCTTACACATTGCATCCAATTCAGTTCATGAAAGGACCAAGCGCATTGAGCTAGACTGCCACTTCATCAGATAAAAGATCAAGTCTGGAGAAATAATCACTAAATCCATCAACTCTAGTGATCAACTAGAAGATGCCTTCACTAAATCACCAAGGGGTCCAAGAATTGACTATATTTGTAACAAGCTAGGTGCATATGATCTATATGATCCAATTTGACGGGGAGTTTTGAAAATAAGATATTTAAAGAATATATTATAGTTTAAGGAAAAGTAAATATTCCCTCATGATGCACAGTTAATGTATTTCACTATTTCTGCTGTATAAATAAATCTTTGAGGTATAGTTAAAACACAGATTCAGTCACGTGTCTATTTTTCTTTCCTCTCAACATAAACAATATACATTCCTTCGGTGTGTTTTTGTACTAAAGGGCACTACGTGTCGAAACATATGTGAATATTATGAGGAGGTTGTTTTAAGTTCGGCTTTTATGGCAACATTTGTTTTTATCTTAGATGTGTTATGTGTTTTAGTCTATAACCCAATAGCTAGTTATTCATTGTTAATATCTTGTTTAGATTAGTAATGTGATGACTACTTGTTAAATTGTTGTGCAGGATGTGAAGTCATTGGACAAAATCCATGGGATGAAGATAGTTGGTTTATTACCTTATTGGTTCCACGTAGCAGAAGGTGTTGTGCGTAATGATGTTGATATGCAATCATTATATCTGTTGACAGGACCAAATGGTGGTGGGAAATCAAGTTTACTGCGGTCAATTTGTGCCGCTGCCCTACTTGGGATATGTGGACTCATGGTTCCTGCCAAATCAGCCCTGATACCTTATTTTGATTCCATCACGCTGCATATGAAGTCATATGATAGTCCAGCTGATAAAAAGAGTTCCTTTCAGGTTTGCTATTGGTTCATGCTTTTCTATTATGTTCATCCATTGAGATATTTTTACTGTGGAGTATTAACCCATGTTAGTTAATGAATTACACCATGTATTTTGAGAAACTCACATAATTTCTGATTTACTTATTCTCTTTCATTGTCGAAGTGCAACCATTTTATTGATATGCCAAACTGAATTTGAATCAAAAGATGAGTTCCGGAAAAGTTGGCCCCCTCAGTTTTATCCTTCGTTTGAAATATCACATGAGAGCAATCATCAATGAAAGAAACAAACCGTTTTACTTGGAGATATTAGAAATAGAGGCAGGTCCTCACACATCAGAAAGGAAGAATAATTCTTTACTTTTCTCTCCGTTTCATACCACATTTTTTTTGTTGGTACCTATTGGACAAATTAGTTGCCTGGGGCTTTATGGAATTAGGAACAGGGGATTCAACATTATTATCCATAAAATTAAATAGTTGAATGTTGCTTTATGGAATTACAATTTTCACAAGTGCCTTGAACATTTCATCCATCTTTAATATCTATCTCAGGTGGAAATGTCAGAACTTCGATCCATCATTAATGGAACCACCGAAAGGAGCCTTGTACTTGTTGATGAAATTTGCCGAGGAACAGAAACTGCAAAAGGAACTTGTATTGCTGGTAGTATCATTGAAACTCTTGATAGAATTGGGTGTCTGGGTATTGTATCTACTCATTTGCACGGAATATTTACTTTGCCCCTAAACATAAAAAACACTGTGCACAAAGCAATGGGAACAACGTCCATTGATGGAGAAACAATGCCTACGTGGAAGCTGACAGATGGAGTCTGTAAAGAAAGTCTTGCTTTTGAAACTGCCTCAAGGGAAGGAATCCCTGAGCCTATTATCAGAAGAGCTGAATATCTTTATCAGTCAGTTTACGCTAAGGAAATGCTTTCTGAAGAAAATTTCCTAAATAAAGAAAAGTTTTCTACTTCCATCAATGTTAATAATTTGAATGGAACACATCTTCATTTAGAAAAGTTCTTACCAGGAGCTAATCAAATGGAAGTTTTACGTGAGGAAGTTGAGAGTGCTGTCACTATGATATGCCAGGATCATATAATGGAACAGAAAAGCAAAAAAATTGCATTGGAGCTTACCGAGATAAAATGTCTCCTAGTTGGTACAAGGGAGCAGCCACCTCCATCGGTTGTAGGTTCTTCAAGCGTCTATGTGATGTTCAGACCAGATAAGAAACTCTATGTAGGAGAGGTAAGTCTCAACTTCTAGTATGCTTTCCTTATTTGTTTATTGTCTTCCTTTACCTTTGAGTGATACTATAAAGCGAGAAAAAAAATTGCTCAATGTAGACAAAATTTACCTATGTTTAAAGTTAGTTGTTGAATAATCCAAATGGGTAGAGGTCCCTAATTCATCCAGGAACCAATAATTGCACCAACTCATTTTGATTCCAATTCTATCAAATTAATTCTGACTATCTACCATTTTCCTTTCCTTTTGTTTCCGGTGAAGTAGGAGTTGCTATAATAATGTTCAGAATACTTTGCCAATTGATCTGGTAAATAACAGAATTGGTTCAATACCAGGTCGGGACACGTAATGGCTAATGGTATATCTGCTTTTAGCCAAAAGCAGTATTTAATAGATAGCTCATAGCTAAACTTATAACAATTGTTGTATAATCGGCCTCATATTTGTAGTGGTTAAGATGGGATCTCTCCTACGAGTATCTCACCTGAAAGATCATTTAAAAACACAGATGAACAAATAGAAATGGGCCCCGCAGTTTTCTGGGGAGTAGTACTTGTGTCTATCCTCTTCATGCTATCCCTATATCTTGCTTTTTCCTTTACATTTTATTTGTCATGGCTTTTAGCACAATAACAGAAACATGCAGTTTAGTAGAAATGTATGAGTGTTGCAAATTACTGGTTTAATTTACATGGTATCATGATTTTATACTGTCCCTATTTATGAATGTTTGTCAATTAGTTGATCTCTATTTTGTTGGGATGAATTGATGATAGACTGATGATCTCGAGGGACGAGTTCGAACACATCGACTGAAGGAAGGAATGCATGATTCATCATTCCTTTATTTCCTAGTTCCAGGAAAGAGCCTGGCATGTGAATTAGAATCTATGCTCATTAATCAACTACCCAGTCGAGGCTTCCAACTGAGCAATACAGCTGATGGTAAACATAGGAATTTTGGCACTTCCAACCTGTATGCATAACTAGTTGATAGGCATCGACTCTTTCTATGTCTGTTTTGTATTTATGCCAGTGTTATACAGCTGACTTTAATCATCTTTGCGTGTACATTGGCATATTGATGATGATTAAGTTTAGGAAGAAATGTCTGCAGCATTTTTGTTAGAATTAGTTGCTGCAGATGCTTTTATGTTCATATTTGCAAATGTGGAAATTGTTGTTCATTAGCTTGCCAGTAGTTCTATTCCTTTGAAAATGTCTTTGATGGACTCCTCTCCCCATCCAACATTCTTAAAATTCCTCAATACAGCTTGGTAGCACCGAGCATTCATGGTAAAAATGTGAGTTCATGTGGTTTCTTTTAAATGTTAAAACATATTTTGACTAGCCTCCCCTCTATTTGGACAATTGGACTGAACTGCGACTTCTGTTGAAATAATATACCAGTACAAATGAACAAATATACTACTAGTTATGTACTAGAGAAATTTTCCGTTATTGAGTTGCTAATTTTCAGGGAGTTTTTTTTTTTGGTTCGTTCTGGAGTATCCACCGCCGACAGCAGTGACTAATCTCCCTTTTTTTTTTCAGGGAGTTTGATACTCTACAATGATTGTAATTTAAGGTTTATACATATAGATTAAGTGTTTGTTTAGATAAATTTGTTCTGAAGTACTTCATAATTTTCATCATAATTTAAAACTAGTTATTTTGTAGAAGTTTTTTATTTATTAGTTTTTAAAAAATATTATTTTTAACTCATGTATAAGTTAATTTTAGTTTATGGAAAAAATTATTGATTTTATTTTTTGTTTTTTATTTTTTTTTTCTCTTAGAGGTGTTTCTGGAGAAGTTTATTCAAATAGATTCCAAGAACAATGAATATATCACTTTTTTTTTAATTTATTAAAATAACTCCATTTAATAATGGTGTAAAAAAAACTCTATTCAATAAATTTATTACATTTAATTGTACTGGTCAAATCATTTATTAAAGGATAAATTAAGGAAAATAAATAAATTAGTATTATATTAAAATGTAAAAATATTAATCATTTTAGATTAATTTTCAGATGCTAGAGTTGGACTCAACTTTGGATCAATGTTTTAAAAATTAGATCGATTATTAAATTGATTAAGATAGCGTTAGAGGTCGAATTGATGGATTATTAATAACATAATTTGATTTTTATTAACTTTTCAAAAAACATATTTATATCATATATTTTATACCTACAAATTTAATAAAATTTATGCCATGTTTTGGGGAAGTCCAAAAAATTTGTAGTCAATATAGTACTCATGAAACAACTAAATTCTAAATTAATTGAGTTGCATAAATTAATATATAATTTAAAATTAAAGGTATATTATATAAATTATAAAGTCAAATGTATAACAATAAAATATGTTAATTTAGTGGTTATTAAGATGATTAAATAATTTGTCATAAATATATATTAATATTTTGATGCTTCAAAACAATGATTAAATAGTCACATTCACATGTGTTCCAAGTTTTATCTCATTCATAATTAATTTTATTTTTCTTTTGTATGAAAAAATAAATTAGAATTGAACTGCATGAATCAATATATAATTTTAAATAAAAAATACTATAAAGTTATTTATTGAAAATAAAATTATATATATATAATATATATATATATATATATATATATATATATGGTGTACTTGTCTGAAGGTACACTCGTAATCTTCCGGTAGGTAGAGGACCGAACGAGAGCTTCAAGTGGATGCTTCAGAGGGGGGGAGGTACCTACAAAAGGCACTCCGACGCTCAAGTCAGGACAAACACGATTCTCTAGGATAATAAATGAACAGTGACATACCTCGTTTCGTGTGACTTATTTGTAGTACCTGTCATGGGCCTGAGCATGGTGGGCCTTCTCTGACACTTACCAAATTAGGTAATACGATGCTGATCAGCTGATTATGCCTTAATTACGTGTTATCCCATGTTAACCATGATTATCGTCGTAACTATTCTCTGTTGGTCCTTGGCCGAGCCGATAAGGAGCGGCTGAGACAACCTCTCGGCCTATGGCCGAGCCGATAGGAGAACAGGTATTTTCCGAGTCCTCGGCCCCTTACCGAGCCGAAGTGGTGTCCGAGCTGCGTCAATGTCTGATAGGACATGACGTGTTGGTCCACGTGGCCGATAGGACCCTTCCGGTACACAAGCCCCCGAGCCTTAAGGAGTGAAACGACGCAAAGGGTAGATGTGACTTTTCAGTTGTGGCGGTTGAGTTGACGTGTGGAGTTATAATCGTTGGGTTCGTAACCGTTGGGTATTAATTGTGGGAATTTGAAGTGATGTAACCGTTAGGCTGGAAACCGTTGGGCACTAATGACGGGGATGCGAAGGGTTGTCATTTTTGGACCGTTGGATCAATTTGATCCAACGGTTTATAGGGGTGTGATGGTTGATATGCGTTTCCTGAAAGTAGTATAAATAGGCGTGGTGGGACCAACCGTTACGTGTTTACTTAATTGTAGCTTGCATTTGCTCCGAGCCGACGTAGTGACCAAGCTTGAGCGCTAGTCACCAACCGAGACCGGCTTCATTTAAAGGTACGTTTCAATGGCTAATTTTGATAGGGATGTAGATGATAGGGTCTCCCAAATCGGCTCCGCTGGGGATGCCGGGACTGGTTCTACCGATACGGGCTCGCGTGGGCCTTCGGATCAACAGGGTGTTTCAGCCTCGGCATCGAATAGGTCGGCCAATATGGAAATTGTGGAGGGGTCTGAGCATTGACGGAGTGTGGAAGAGGCTTCTTCTCTCGAAATGAGTGAAGGCCGACCGAGTACTCGTAAAGTCAGCTCGGCCTCTCGCCGTTTCGGCCCTATCGAAGTCCCCGACTATAGATGGGTGCATGGGGAGGTAGGCAGCGTGTTTTCACGTTACATCGATAAGAGTTCGATTGCGTTGCTGTTCGACACCGAGAATTTCGTTACCCTTCCGGAGGATGAGGTGCCGTCTGGCTTCTTTTTCGAACCATGTCGAAATGACGGATCATGGGATTCAGATTTTGTCTTTCTTGGCCGAGAGAAGTGTAAATACAACTTTTTTTTTTGTATATGACTATCTATTTAGAGACTTGGGGGTGCTTTCCCCTTTGACAAGTTTTTTATAGGGGTACTTCGGCTACTGAACGTGGCGCCGACGCAACTCCATCCGAATAGCTGGGCCGCGATGCAAGGATTTCGACAATTGTGTATAGCACTTCGCATCGAGCCGACACCCCACTTATTCCTATATTTCTATGCCTCTAGGCCGACGAGGAAGGCAAAATGGCTCTCTTTGTTTCGGGCGGAGCATTGTTTGCTTCAGCCGTTCACTACCTCTTACAAAGGGTTTAAAGTAGGATTTTTCAAGGTGATGATTCAGCCCAGCACAGACAACAAATACTTTTTTGACGACGAGGGAAAGGCATTATTCCCACTGTACTGGATTCGGGCGCCGAGAAAGTACGACGTGGTGTCCAAGTCCAAGATGTCTCCTGCGGAGCGCGCCAATTTGGCGGTGTTGGAAAAACTGCCTCGGCCATTACCGTGCCGAGAACTTGTTCGGCTTATGAAATCATCACAGCCGCTTGACGCTTTAATTGGTATAGCATCTGTCTTGTGTTTAAATTCATGCGTCGCCATTGATTTTGACTAATATTTGTGCAGGTATCATGGCGAGTTGTGGGAGTGATGACCTGGACATCCGCAATTTAATTCGGGGCCGAGCTCCTACGCCGACGCCGACTGGGCAGGGGGGAAATCGGACTCCGGCGCGCGAGATGGCCTGGCCCCAATCTCAGCCGAGAGAGAAGAATGCCCCAGATGCCCACAAGGCGAGGGTTGTTAAGAGAAAGGCCGACGAGGCGAGGGCCGAGGCCGAGGCACGGAAGCAGAAGTAATAGAGGTTGCCGGTGCTCGTGGCTCCTCAGGGACTGGTGAGTCCAAGTTTTTTGGCTTCCAACGTTAGTGCTCAGGATCATCCGAGCAAAGACCTGACATCGGAATCGGGTCAGGCGATGCTGGGGTAAATGAGCTCGGCCCACAAGTGGACCTTTTTCTACGAGTTTCAAGCTCCCTCCTTGGCTTTGGCTCAAAGCATTATGATGCAGCCGAGTGCCAGGGCCAAGAGTCTGCGCCGACAGCTTGTTGAGTCAAAAAAGTCCGTGCAAGAAGCCTTGGTGGTTCTGTCCGAGGCGCAGGCGAACGAGAAGAAGTTTGAAGCTGAGATGGTCTGCCATGGCCGTCAGAATGATGACCTGATGATCCAAGTGCAGCGGCTGGAGAATGCGTTGAAGGCTGAGGCCGAGAAATCAACTACGCTGGCCGGCGAGTTGGAAGCCGAGAAGAAGTCTTATGGGGCGTATCGAGAGAGGGCTAGACGCAAGGTTCTCTCTCAGCATGAAGCTGGCTTCACGCAAGCGACACGGCAGGCCCGACATTTCGAAAGCCTTCCTTCGGACTTCTAGTTTGATATGTCCATGGATTTCTATCGGAGGAAATATGTCAATCTGACCCAAATCCCCCCGAATGAACAGCCGGACGCTGAAGCTCCTGTTCGCCACCAGGTCGGACCGAATGGTGAAGAACAGGCGAATAAGGAAGTTGTCGAGCAGGAGGTGCCAGCCCAAGGGGAGCCCGAGGCCGAGACTTAAAGGTTATTTTCTTTCTTTTTAATTCCTGTAAGCTAAGGCCGATAGAGCCTCTTGGATGAAATTTCTGTACTTCCAGGTCGATAGAGCCCTTTTTAATGCAAGTTACTATTCTTGTCAAATACGCTTACTCCGATATAGCACCAATGTAATGAATTAAGCTGTGCCGAGAAGAATTTTTAGAAATTAATTGAAAATCTACCGTGTAACGACCCACCTTAGGTCATCACATCAATAACCAACCTCAGGACAAACACGATTCTCTAGGATAATAAATGAACAGTGACATACCTCGTTTCGTGTGACTTATTTGTAGTACCTGTCATGGGCCTGAGCATGGTGGGCCTTCTCTGACACTTACCAAATTAGGTAATACGATGCTGATCAGCTGATTATGCCTTAATTACGTGTTATCCCATGTTAACCATGATTATCGTCGTAACTATTCTCTGTTGGTCCTTGGCCGAGCCGATAAGGAGCGGCTGAGACAACCTCTCGGCCTTTGGCCGAGCCGA